ATCACGGGCGTGGAGGTCAGGAAGGGCGTGGTGGCAGGGACCGCCGAGGGGGAGCTGGGCGTCGCGCTGGGGGGCTCGAGGATGGGCCGATTGTAGAAAAAGAAGGGGCACTGCTGGATGAAGAGTTCAATGATTGTCTGATAGGTGCGGGTGGCCGTCAGGGCGTCCATGGTGCTGAAATCCGGCCTCATCAGCGTCGGCCAGAAGCAGATGGACAGGTTATCGCTCGTCATCAGGTTCACGCGGCTGTTGTGACTGACCCTGTGGCGGGCAAGAGAGAAAGGAAGGGGCCGTGAGCCAGCGGGGCAGCGCTCACGGCCCCGGGGAAACCGGCAGCACCACCCACTTTCCAGAGGTCTGGGAAACGAAGCCCGCAGCCCATCCCAGAGATGGGAATGCAGACTGCCGCAGCCAGAGGATGACCCTCCGGCACGTCCGAGCCAGAGCCGCCGCAGGGCTGGCAGAGCTGGAGATGGGTGGGTCTCGTGTCGGCTTCCTGCCGGGTCGTTTGTAGCAGCATTGCACCCCCCCAGTAAAGACCAGGCCTGCTTAACTGGACAGAGAGAATCACTTCGGGCGGCCTCCCTACACTCCCAGGCCATCAGCACGTGCTTGAGATGGTTCCAGGGCTTCGTCTACGAACCTCCGGGAAGAGGCCAAGGTGGGATAAAGAGGAGACGCTCCCTGCCCGGCACGGGGGGGGAATGGATCTCGTACGTACTTGTTCAGGTGCGCGATGACGTATTTGAAGACCTCGTGGTTCTCCTTGGGGAACTTCTTCAGCACCTCTTTGAGCGCGTGCAGCTTCTGCTCCCGGTCATTTATTTCTGCCAAGACAAAAGCAACATCGGAATGAGGCAACGAAACATTCACAACCCGCCGGGGAGAGGCTTACACGCGACACCGAGGCCTGCGGAGCCGAGAGAACCTGCTGGGACGTCTGGAGGTGAAGCCCACCAGGACTTCTCTGCAGAGGAGCTGAGCACCTTGGAGATCCAAAGCCCGCTGCCCGAGGTCGGCCCTAAAGCCACGTGCGTTTCACTGCCAGGCTCGGTAGGGAGCCATGCGCTGGGGGCTCCTGGAAGGCCAGCATGATGTCCTGCTCAGCTGCAGGATGCCAAGCTGTCCCCTGCACGGTCGCTGCGACTCAACTGCAAGACGAGGGGCTTCCCCACCCCCGTTAAACGGGGGGAACCTCATTGTGGAACCAAATAAATATGGTACTTAAGAGCCTAAGTCCAGCTGCCGCAGGGCTTTCTGAGCCGAAGCAAGTTTCCAAGCGCCCTGCAGAGTGGTTCTGCTCACTGGCATTATAAGGACAATTCATTAAGAGTGGGAGAGCACTGGGAAAGATGAGCACGGCAGAAAAGCCGGTAATTAAAACATGAATGAGGCCACATGCACCAGGGACTGGAGGTAGCAACGTGGGGAGAATCTGTACGAGACACTGATTCTCCAGCTGCAACCAACACGGGTTCATTCGAGGCAGGTCCTGTCAGACCAACCTGGCGGCCTTCTACGACCAGGGCACAAGATCCTTGGACGCAGATGTTATGGTGGACATGGTCTTTCTGGACTTCAGGAAGGCCTTGGACACTCTCTCACCCCCTTCTCGTTAAAAAATGAGGCGACTGTGGTGTCAATGCCTACATGGTCAGATGGGTCGCAAATTGGCTGGAGGGCCGCACCCAGAGAGTGGTGGTGGACGGGTCTTGTTCGACCTGGAGGGACGTGGGCAGTGGGGTCCCCCAGGGCTCGGTCCTCTGACCCGCGCTGTTCAACATCTTCATCAGCGACTTGGACGAGGGGGTGAAAAGCACCTTGTTCAAATTCGCAGATGACACTAAGATGTGGGGAGAGGTGGGCACGCTGGAGGAGAGGGACAGGCTGCAACTAGACCTGGACAGGTTGCAGGGGTGGGCGGATGAGAACAGGATGGGGTTCAATACTGACCAGTGCAAGGTGCTGCACCTGGGGAGGAAGAGCCAGCAGCAGACCTACAGGCTGGGGAACTCCCTTCTCACAGTGCAGAGGCAGAAAAGGATCTTGGAGTCATTACTGATGCCAAAATGAACATGGGCCGACAGCGGGGGGACGCGGTCAGGAAGGCCAACCGCACTTTGTCATGCATCCACAGATGCATCTCGAGCAGGGCCAAGGAGGTGATCCTCTCCTCTATGCGACACTGGTCAGGCCGCAGCTGGAGTACTGCGTCCAGGTCTGGGCGCCGCACTTCAGGAGGGATGTGGGCAGCATGGAGAGGGTCCAGAGGAGGCCACCCGCATGATCAGAGGGCAGCAGGGCAGGCCCTACGAGGAGAGGCGACAGGACCTGACCCTGTTCAGCCTCCACAAGAGAAGGCTGAGGGGGGATCTGGTGGTCATTTACAAGCTGGCCAAGGGGGACCAGCAGGCATTGGGGGAGTCCCTGTTCCCCTGAGCACTACCGGGAGTTACAAGGAATAACAGCCATAAGTTGACTGAGAGTAGATTCAGGCTAGACATCAGAAGGCAAATAATTGCCTCCTGATATCGGGGCGGCTAGGATCTGGAACCAACTTCCAAGAGAAGTGGTGCTGGCTCCTACCCTGGGGGGCTTTAAGAGGAGACTAGACAGACCCCTAGCCGGGGTCGTTTGACCCCAGCATCCTTTCCTGCCAGGGCAGGGGGTTGGACTTGATGATCTTCTCAGGTCCCTTCCTACCCGACCAAGTATGAAACTATGATTTCCCTTCGCTGGATGGTATCTTCATAACGCCCTCGCCCCACGCGGTATCTTCATAACACCACGCGGGTTTGCCTGTTATATGCCGTTTCGCTGCTTTGGGGGTCTTGTACCACCAGGGCCGGATCTGGGGGGTGGAGGGGCAGTCACACCCCACTTTGATCCTGCTCCACCCAAACTTTCAAACCATCTGCCTGCAAGGGGCTGCAGCATTTCTGTCCAGCCCATTGACTTCATGGCTTACTGTCACCTACCAGATTCCTGCTAATCTCTCTTCGCTCCACAGGTGTGAACAACCCTCTCCTTTTTAATGGCCTTGACGGTCCATTAATCAAGCTGCCCTTTCTTCTGCAGTGCTGCTATCTGTTAGCCACTCCAGATAGTATTTCTTCTATTTCACAGCCCTGCAGACCATTTCTAACTTAGCTCGTTACCTCTAACTTGGGTGTGGTGACATCAACTTGAGGAACATGAACTCAGGGGTGGAAACGATTGACAAGAAGTGCTGGAGGCACTGTCAAGATGCTCAGAAGGCTAGGGTTTGTTTTATAAATTGAAATAAGAGATGCATATTGAATCATAATGACTACAGGACTATTTGTTGCCTCGTCTGTTGTGTTTTTTAAATGTAATATATATGCCCAGAAATGAGCACCCATTCCAATAAAGTTATATTTCTTTTTGCTTTGATCTTAACCTGAAGAATAGAGCGTGGGACCCCCAGAATATTAGTTTCACTTTAAGTGGAGAAAAATGTGTGTTGTGTTAGCCACGATGCAGGATGATATCTGCACCCCCTTTTCAAAATCCTAGACCTGCCCATGCACACCGCGAGAAGACAAGCGGCTAGGCGCTCAAGTGAGGCCACTGTGAAAGGCCGTAGTGTAAAGACAGTCCTCGTTAGCAAGGGGAATTCAAATCAGCCCCTGGCAGGCTGTCCTAACGTGGCCCTCGCAGTGCTGCCAGCCTGGACAACAGGCTCCCGTTCGGGGACCATCCGGTTCCTTTCCTTGCCAGGATGACTTAGGCTTTTTTTTTTACAAAAAGAAACCCACAGACAAAAGCTGCTGCATCAGCCAATCCTCTCACAATGGGATCTGGGCCGTTATCTTTTCTTGCCTCTAGATGGCACCCGCAGGACGATCCCGGGGAACTACCTGCTTCCAGGGCGCAGCGTAGCGAACCTCTCGCACTGCTGGCTGCAGGAGAAGCCATGGACTCGTGTTTGAGAGGCTCTTGCCAGGAGGGCACCTGGCGCTTTAACATCCCTACTGGCTTCTTCTTAAGTCAAGGGGAGGATGGAGAGCGCCGGACGGGGAAGTACGCTACACCTTGTGCGACCAGACTCCCTCTGTCCTCTCCCTCATCCTCCGCGTGGCATGGTGTGTGCGGCCGGCTCTCCATGCCCTCCCACACCGGGCGCTGGCTTCCCTGGCGTTAACCCGCTCCTGGACTCCTCTAGCCCGCTGGACTGACAACTCGGAGCACAGAAATCACAGGGCGGCACTAAAAATACTAGTCAACTCCAGTGGACCCAGAAAGAGAGTCTCACGGACCGTCTCTGTGCCTGAAGGAGGGCGTTTGTGCCCAAAAGCTTGCAGAGAACAATTTGTCCATCTATTTAGTTGGTCTAATGGACGATATCACATCTACCCAAGGACCCTTGTCAGGGAACATCAGGCACTCGCAGGCAGCGCTGCCGGCTGAGCCAGCTGACTGTCTGGAACCGCACGTCAGCTTCCCCCAGGCTCATCCTGAGCAACCAGAGCCGCATCGAACTAAAACTCACTGAGCCGGGCTGCAGCCCGGGCACATCAGGAGATATGCAGGGGGGCAGAGCAGTATGTGTTTCACAAGATGAACACGGTGTGCAGGCAGCCGGCAGAGAAGGAAAGACCTGACCAGAGGAGGCCGTAAGGGCAGCGTTGCGACAGCCATCACCATCGTCACGAGGCAATTAAAGCTGCAATCACAGCCGCCCGCGGCCGGCCCCCTGCCGCCGTGCCTGGGCGATCCCGGGAAGGAAGGGGAGAGGAAGAATGAAGGTCCTTTATGCTGTGCCACAACGGTGCCACCCGCCTCCTCGCGCATACTCACTGTGGGCTTCCACCAGCTCAATCTGCATGTTGTAGGGTACCAGGGGGTCGGGCAGTTCTGAGAAGAAGCTTTTCATGGCCCCGGCCACAGTGTGCACCGTGAAGTCCTTCTCAGCCAGGTCCAGGTTGTGATCTGCAACGAAAGCGTTTCGCGAGTCTGCTGCGCCAGCCCGAGGAGAGCAACAGCAGGGGGATGCGGGGAAGACAGGCAGAGCCAGCACAGCGAGGGGCTGAAAGGGAAGCTCACAGGAAAGACCGAATGGCTCGGGACCTGCGTGATGGGGGCCGGAGACGAACAGCTAAGAACTAGGTCACTGAAGGGAGACTAGTCGCTTCCCCTCTTCCACGTGGACCTTGGAAGCCCTGTTCATCTGCTGGCAGGTAAAAAGAGGCTCGTTAAGAGCAAGGAACGTGGAAGAGGACAAGACGACTAGCAGCACACAGCCTCAGACCAACGTGGCTCTGGCTAACGCCATGGCTGACACCCTTGTCCCAGCTTTACACTGGTAAATACGGCTCTGATCGTTTGCTGCTGCCCTTACGGGCCTGTTAGTTGCTGCAAAGCTGCAGCGTGACATTGCTTTCGATGCCCGGGAACTTCACCAAAGGACTCGGAGGTCATTCAAAGAGGAGCAGCACTGCTTCATCCTGCGTGTCACCCTGCTTGTGGAGGGAGCCCTGCACCTGCCATGGCCTGCACAGAGTTTTATTATAGTTATTTTATGAAGTTTTAAAGCCCCAAATAAAATCCCTGGTAGGAAAGTAAACAGAGTCTCTCTGGGCAGCGAGGGGTCTGCACGAACACCACGTCAGAGCTCGCAAACTCTAGGAATCCAGACGCTGGCCCTGGCGTTTAGCCACACGCCATCATACATCTCCAAGGAGAAACCTGTCCTGGAGCAGAACCTCGCGGGGGACGACGCTCACGGCAAACAACTGAGCCACCAGCAGAACAGAGACTCGTGGACAACAAGGGTAGGACGGGACCTGGCCACCCCCCTGCTCCAAGCAGGACCAGCCCCAACCACATCATCCCAGCCAAGGCCTTGTCTACCCGGGTCTTCAAACCCTCCCAGGATGGAGACTCCACCACCGCTCTGGGGAGCCTGTCCCAGTGCTTCACCACCCTCCTTGTGAGAGAGTTCTTCCTAATCTCCAACCTCAACCTCCCTTGCTGCAGCCTGAGCCCATTGCTCCTTGTCCTGTCGTCTGCCCCCACTGAGACCAGCCCCGCTCCATCCTCTTTGCAGCCTACCTGCAGGGAGGTGAAGGCTGCTATTCAATCCCCCTCGGTCTTCTCTTCTCCAGACTCAATCAGCCCAGGTCCCTTGGCCTCTCCTCACCAGCCCTGTCCCCCAGCCCCCAACCATTTGCACTGCCCTTCACTGGACTCTCTCCAACGTGTCCACACCCTTTCTGTAGTGGGGGCCACAACTGGACACAGGACTCCAGATGTGGCCTCCGCAGTGCCAAAGGGAAGGGAACGGGATCAGAAAGGCTGATCTACAGAGTCCTGAAGCAACGCAGACACGGGGAAAACTCCCCAACAGCCCGCCTCCCGATGCCCCCCAGCCGGTATGCGCTCTTTTTTTTTTTAAACAGTAAGATACACATCAGCCCTAGCGTCAGGCCAGGCATTTAAAAACCAAGGCAGGAATGGCAAGGTCACTAATATGCGTCCTGGCTGTGTTATAAAAAGACTAGTGGTTAAAACAGGGTAGCTGCCCGGACGTGTCGCAACATGCCTTCACCTCCCAGAAAACGCTCTGGCTATTTTAAGGGGTCCGAGCCATCTGAAAAAATTCAGAGCTGCCGGAAGAAATACCCCCCGCCAATTTAGGAAATCCACAATGGCTCTAAAAGGAGGAGTAAAGATCTCACCGGGGTTCTCTCTCTTCATCTATTTGATGCAATTTGCTTCAAGTGGGTTCCCATACCTCCCCGTGAAGCGTTTGCCCCGTTTGTCCAGGACGAATCGGAAGAAAAAGTCTTAAAGCTAACCGACGAGTCTGACCACGCAGAACACAGGGCTGGCAGGGGGCTCGGAGGTCTGAAAACATCGTTAAAGGATCCAGCTCTAAAAATTTGCAATTCTCTTCTTTAACGAAGGACAGGCCCACCAAGGTATTCAGAAGAGTTGGAAGACGTCGTTTTAAACAGGGCGATAATGGGCATCACCGTGATTAAATGCAGTCATTTTCAAGGGCCAAAATTACGTGCCAAGGGTCCTGGAGGCTGCAGAGCTCTTCAAGGTATCAAGCACCGGGGCACCTCCACATGCAGTAAAATACGGAGGTTTCCATTAAATCCAAATGAAGAGAATCCCGTCTGAATACCAATCGCCGGGCTGGTTTTATTTAAAAAGCCTTTCGCTTGAGGACAGGCTGGAAACTTGCTATTTTGCTGCTGGGCTGTGGTGATGACGCTCCCGGGGACTATGGTGTTTCAAAACGCATGAGCGCAGGGAGATCAGTGAGCCCCGTGAAAGAGGGTCTTTAAAAATGCATTAGCCCACATGAGTGAAAAACACTTGCCACTTAGTGGATCCTGGCCTGCCCTAGGGTATCGAGGGCATTGCCTTGGCTCCGTGCTGGAGGCTAAGTGGTATTTCTAATTATAAAACTAATACGGTTAAACCCGGACAACACACACACACACAAAGGCACCTTTAAAGAAGGCCAGAGGGGAGTTTAGAAAATCAGGCAATAAAACCTGGTCCTGATTTACAGATTTTTTGAAGTTTCCTTCAAAACCACAAGGTCTCCATGCACCCGAAATCCTCCCTTCTGGAGCAGCCTTTCTAGCAAGGTGGAGCCCGCGTTGCTAATTCTGCTGCTGTTCACGTGTGTACCCAGCTCGTTTTGCTGCAGCTCCGAACACCAGTTTGAGACCGGGGACTGGAGTCTTCCCAAACTACAGAAAACACGCGACTTGGGCGACTTCTGGACTCTGCAGACTCCCAAGTGTATTTCCGAGTCAGCGCCATGTCCTCAGCACCCCCACCCCCCGCGACAGAGCAACGGGAACAGACCTTACCTTGATCAAACTGCCTCTGCAGACTCTCCATCTCCGACTTGTTTCCACTCACGCGGTAGATGCCTTCTGTGCTCAACCCTAAGGAACAGAAAAGGGGAAAGGTCAGTGCGGGGCTGGGGCTGGAAGGGGACAAGGCTGTGAAGTGGTGCGCTGCACTAGAGCTTCCCTGTGTACAAGGAGGGGAACGAACCACAGGAGAGGGTCCCCGCGTGCAAGACCGGGGGGCTGCACAGAGAGGGGAGAAACCTGAGCTTCTCCGGCATCTTCTCATCCGCTCTCAGTCCTCTCTGTACCTATGCATGTATGAGCGCACTGAGAGGTGAGCACAGCCAGGCCATATTTTCCCAAAGGAGGAAGGCCCCGAGGTACGTCCCCTGCCCGAGACCAACCTCGGGTTTAGAGCACAGTCCTCTGCTTCCAGCTGCCCCTGCTCTAAAACTTAACGTCTGTTCTCTCTTAAAGACTGTGGCAATTACAAAAAATACCTGCGAAAGGAAGCCGGACGGTTAAACGAACACGTGAGCTGCACTCCGCTCCTTGGAGAGTAACGTCCGATTAGAGGCCAGCCGGGCGTCTAAAGGAGGAAACCGCCCGCAGCTGCAACTCGCCTTGCTGCCCGCCCAAAGACAAACGCCCCCGCACAGCAGGCCTGGAAGGTGGACCACAGCCATCCCGGCACATGCAATCGGGCCAAGGGGAGCCCTCTCGGTGGGCCCGGGGTGGCATGCAACCCTCACGACACGGGCGTAAACGGGGAGAACAAAATGTCTCACTTTAGCAATCACTTTAATTGCTGCTTTCTGAGGGGCCTGCACTTGGTGAGGAAAGGACCAAGGAGCCTGCCTTCTGCTATGCAAGAGATGGATGGTAGGTAGGTGCGTCTCAAGTGTGGAGGATTTATTCAAAGTACAGGTCATTAATTGTGCAGCTTAAAAGCTTTTAATTGCTAAAGGGATGGCCTGTTTGTGGCTTCATTTCACAGAAAGCAATCTGCCTCGTCGGAGGGGAAAACTAGGTTAAGGGACCAGCCTGGAAGGCCATATAATTCCAGGCCTGGACACAAACAATCAGTGTCTGTGCGCCCTGGAAAATGGAAAGAAAAAGGCAGCAGCTGCCACCGTCTCTCCCTGAGGCCCGAATTCAAAGCAGATTTACTCTCGGACATGGAGCTGATGCATATGCTTTCACAGGAGACAGCCCACTTCATGGGAGGCCACGGGTGAACTTGCAGAGAGCAGGAGCACTAGCCAGAAAGGACCGGAGCCGCTGCAACGAAGGGCAGGGAAGAGGGAGCAAGGGGAAGGGGGCATGGATGGGAGAGAGGAAGGCGGCTTGCAGAGATCAACAAGGGAAAAGCCAGGCCGGCTCGCAGATCAATGGACGTACTCCAACAGCCCCGAGGAGACGCACAAGAGACAGTAACTGGCTCCTTGGCCTGTTTCTGGCTGAGAATCAAATGAAGAGTCATCCCGAAGTCGCATCTTCACACACAGACTATCCGACTCCATCGTGTGCTTTGGCACGGCCCCCGGAGCCAGGGGCTCAGAAGAGACCTGTGCAGGGAGCATTACTGATGAAGAGCTGTATTCTCCCCCAAAAGGGGCAGCCAGCCGGCCACCCAGCACGGGCTCCACATCCAGGGAAAGGACAAGGCAGGGAGAAGTCAAAACAGGTGGGTGCTAGCTGGGAA